GATTCTGTTTGGATATTTGGTTAAAAAGAAATAATCAATCACTGACCTGATGCAGCCTTTTACTGATGAGGATTTTATCTTCATCTTCGCTCTCCTCGTCCACGAGCTCCTCCAGGAGACTGCCTTCCTCCTCCTCCTCCTCCTCCTCCTCCTCATCCTCCTGAGCAGACACCAGAGGAAACATGACATCAGGCTAAACAAGGACGATTCGCACGTCTGCAGCAGCGGTCGACCCAACCTGAACTTCCTGAAGGCTGGTTTCCCAGCTGGTCAGCGAGGAGGAGCTGCTGCTGCTCAGGTGGCTCCTGTCGGTGCTTCGGATGGAGGAAGAGCGGGGAAGGATGGGGAGGGGCCTGGAGATCAGGACTATAACCTGAAATCACAAGAGAAGAATGAACGTCACCCATTTAAACGTTAACACCGCGTCTCCTGATCGTTTTCTATCCACAGACATCCCATTATAGACCAGCTGTGACCAGTTATACAACATGGGGCAGAAACTGGGGCAAATCGAGGAGCACAGACCCAGGAAACGCTTCTGAAAAACAAACGGCCACGTGGACTGAAACCCAGTTTAAATCTAAATACTTTAGTCTGTGACGTCATCGCAGAGACTTTATAAAAACTGGAACGTGGAGCAAAGAACCGACCGCCTGTCGCCTGCTGTAGAGTCCGACTGATCCCTGAGCTTTTACGGAAAAGTCCGATTATATTCAGAATTCAAACTTCTGAAAGTTCTTTAAATACGTTTCGCTTCCCATCCAAGTTTTTCAATTTAACGTGTCAGAAATGGTGTTTATTTAGCAGCCCAAAAACTTGTTTTGGTTTAGAAAACATGCAAATTGAACCAGAACGGTTCCACCCCTTAGGAATGGGGGGTCGTTTGGATTCTTTGTTAGCCTGCATTATCGGATACTGGTCTAAGCCTCTGAAATGGGGGTCATAAGGGGCAATTGTTAGTCTGGCTGAACAGGCGAGCTGTTATTGTCCCTTGTCGGGGGTGGGGATGTCAGATGAGAGTTGACCCCCCCTGTTTAAGGTTGTTTCTTCTCTCTTAACATAAATGGCTTCCTTCATGAACCCTCTCAAATCACCTGTCTTCTTTGTCCAATATGCGAACCAGTACCAGTTAACCTAATAATCAGAAGCTGCCCTCCTCTGGTAGCTGAAGGCATCATTGTGGCATAGAGGGAGCGGAAGCTGCAGTAAACAAAGCCAGTTTACTGCAGCTCTACTAACTCTAGCTCTACTAATGCCTCTGCAGCATTAGTGGAGCTCAAAGCTCACGGTCAGAGATGGGATCGCTTCTAATCGGAGGAAACATCTGGAGAAAAAACGCCTGCGATCTACGGCTACAACCTGTTAGCATGCCTGCATCTGTTAGCGGCTGGTTGTCTGCAGCTTCATCATTATTTTCTCTGCAACAGCTAAATAAGCCTGGTGGTTAGGATGACATTAGCACGCTTAAGGTCCCGCTTAGTACCAACACCCAGGTACTGGTACCAGAGGCGTAGCTGGAAAATCCTACCAGGGGGGGCCAGGCAATAACAAATTAGGGGTGGCCAAAAGGCCCCAGAACCTCAGGGTCAATCTATACTGTTCCAACAGGAACAAGCACAACATCCATATTTCCTAAATAAAGACAAGCTATACTTTCTAGCAGCCTTTGCTAACAAATAGGCGCATATATTTAAACATCTATGGTGTGTAAATAAAAAGTATAGCGGACAAAATTCTTTCAGGTTTGAGTTCTGTATGGCAAGCCATTTTAACATAAATTCGGTTTCATCTGACCTTCCATAATTACGTTCCAGATATCTTAAAATACATTTTCACTATCCGGAATGATAATTTAAGATATCTGTATTTACATTCTGATTAGGAAGAATAATAATTAAAGATATCTTAAATTACATTTTTTGCCTAGTCAAACTTCCTTTCAAGATATCTGAAATTACGACACCGGATTTGTCATTTAAAGCGTCACACGCTGATTTAGCTTTTCCTCCTTTGGATTAAACTGACAGTAGAGAATTTTTTAGGAATGATTCTCCTGGAAGCCTATTAAAAAGATTATGACACATTTTGACTGGTCAGAATGTCAGTTTAAGATATCTTTAATGGAAAAGCTGAATAATTTAAGACATCTTTAATTCATTTAGAGAATTTCGAATAGTCGAAATGACAATTCGAGATATCTTTAAATTTGTTTTGTCTAGTCATTATTTGCTTTTAAGGTATCTATAATTGAGTTTTCACTAGTCAGAACGGCATATCTTCTTTCCTAAAATCCATTTAAGATATCATGAATTATGGTGGCATTTGAAATATCTTTAATTAGAATTATGACTAGTCAAAACTAAAATCGAGATATCTTGAAATTACTTTATGACNTATGGAAAAGCTGAATAATTGGTAAATCTGACGTCATTTCGACTAGTCAGAATGTAATTAGAGATATCCCGAATAGGAATTTTGACTACGGTAGTCAAAATATAATTAGCGATATCTTAAATCGCTAAAACGTCTAGTCATTAAACAATTTGAGATATCTTGAATGTAAAGGCGGTGCAACCAAATTTATGTTAAAATGGCTTGCCATAGTGGTGAACATATTGTGCATTGTCATTACCTACTTTTATCAATAATCATTCTGCAAAAACAAAAATTATTTATACTACTAATATCCACATTTAATGAATGTTTATGTTTTTATTAAAGTAGTTATTTATCTATGATTCCACTGAAGACTCCTAGATAACTTGCAGAGGCACATCATTTTCTCTCTACCCAAAATAATTCAAAATCTAGCTCTGGAAAGAGCAGGAATTCTGTAGATATCTTTAATGTTTGTATATTGATGTGCATTATTAACCGCAGTGTTTCTGTTGTCAAGCAGTTGGAATAATTATGTATATGATACTTAATGTTTGTTCTTATGATGTATAATGTGTGACATATTACTGTTTCAGAGAGGTGTTGCACAAGCAGTATAGGTCAACTCTCAGGAAGTATTGCTCAAGCTTAACGAAACCAAGAGCTTCTCTGACCATTTGACCGCAAGACATTTAAATGCAAATTGACCTGTTCACTGAGGCTGCAAATTGAATTGTATTTCTTGTTCCCTATTCCTTTAGTGCAACCTCAGCTTGTGTAACTAGGGATCCTCCCTCTGACTTTAATAAATAGCGAGGAGAAAGCTGAAGACCGGCAGAGTGGGGTGGAGATTTGTAAACTCTGCAGTCTCTTCCTGCTCTCCTTGCGAGTAAAACTAAATTAATTGTCTCTGTGCCTTCTTTATTTCCCTGTATGCATGTTTCAGTTGCTTAGACCTGACACAAGCAGTTGTTAATATAGGACAAAATTTAATGTTTAATAAGTTTGAAAACTCCCCTTCAGAGTATTACTCCCGCCACCTTCTGTATTAGAGGAAAAAAAATGGTAGGGCTGGCCAATGATTGGCTAAGGGTGGCCATGGCCCCCCCTGGTCCCCCATCTAGCTCCGCCCCAGCATCAGCTCAAATATGAACACTAAATATCCCTATAAAATGGACACAGGGAGCCTGGAATCCGTCTGGATCTGGAATTTTCACCCAGCGTTTGTCGGCCAATGAAGAAAGAGAGACGGAAGGATCGGGAACCTTCTGCGCCACGGCGGAGAATTTGAGGACGTTGAGGGTCTCCTCATACATGGAGGCACACTGGTTGATGTTGACGATCATGCAGGCTTTGCCTCGGCCGCAGAAGAAGCTCTGCAGGTAGTGCGTCAGCTTGCTCTCCCTGAAGGGAACGTGCTGCAGGAGCCTGAAGGAAGGAAGGAGAAGAAACTCACCAGGAAAGGTCAGAGAATGATGGAAGCGTGGGAACGTTTAGCGGAAACCACGGAAGAAGACACGAGGTTAGCGTCTCACTTGGCCTGCTGGTTGTGCCGCAGAGCTTTGATACATTTCCCTAAGATGAGCAGCGAGGTGTTGATGTTTCCGGCTTCCTTCAGACGCTCGCCTATATTCTGGGTCTTTGCGCATCGCTCAGAGCCAGCCAGGTCGCACAGACACAACCTGCAGGACAGCAGAGCCACGTTCAGACAGTAGGAGCGGACGGCTAACGGCTAACCAGGCGCCGCTGAACTCACTCGCTGATGGTGCGGACTCTAGCAGGGTCAGCGTCTTCCACGCCCAGAATCCGGATGGAGAAAATACTGTGACTGCAAGGAAAGCAGCGTTAGGAGGAAACAGAACCTGGGCGGCTGAAGCCTGCAGAGATCCTCACCTCCTGCTGGACAGCTGGTTGAGTCGAGTGGAGGAGAAGCTCTGGTTCCTCCTCCCCAGCTGGAGCACCATGTACGCCTCCTCAGCGCTGCTCACCTGGACCCAGCGCAGATCTAAACAGACCAGACCGACCGTTACTCCTCAGGTTTCCATGAGCTGAAAGCTTGGAGGCGCGGCAGGATGAGGACCTCTGATGAAGGCGTTGCCCTTCCCGTCCTGTGACAGCCGCAGAGCGGGCCTTCTGGGCGCTCCGCTGGGGGCCACCTCCAGCAGGTCGTGGATGTTCTCGTTGTAGATTTCACAGAAGGAGACCCAGACAGAGAACTTGGTGCTGGGGTCCACATTCAGGCTGATCTTCTCTTCAGCTGCTGCGTTTGGCCCCGTCGCCATGGAGCCTGCAGAGAGCACAGTCAGCCGCGGGGCCCCTCTGAGCCTGGAATGGAACCCAGCAGCTTTAAAGTTGTAGGGAAATCATACTTAAATGCTGAATCATTCTGGGGTAAACGTGGATATACATTTAGTCTTTATCAGACCACACTGCCCCAAAATTAGGAAATTTGTATTTTAAAAGAATTCTGTCTTAAAATCNCCCCCATCTAGCTCCGCCCCAGCATCAGCTCAAATATGAACACTAAATATCCCTATAAAATGGACACAGGGAGCCTGGAATCCGTCTGGATCTGGAATTTTCACCCAGCGTTTGTCGGCCAATGAAGAAAGAGAGACGGAAGGATCGGGAACCTTCTGCGCCACGGCGGAGAATTTGAGGACGTTGAGGGTCTCCTCATACATGGAGGCACACTGGTTGATGTTGACGATCATGCAGGCTTTGCCTCGGCCGCAGAAGAAGCTCTGCAGGTAGTGCGTCAGCTTGCTCTCCCTGAAGGGAACGTGCTGCAGGAGCCTGAAGGAAGGAAGGAGAAGAAACTCACCAGGAAAGGTCAGAGAATGATGGAAGCGTGGGAACGTTTAGCGGAAACCACGGAAGAAGACACGAGGTTAGCGTCTCACTTGGCCTGCTGGTTGTGCCGCAGAGCTTTGATACATTTCCCTAAGATGAGCAGCGAGGTGTTGATGTTTCCGGCTTCCTTCAGACGCTCGCCTATATTCTGGGTCTTTGCGCATCGCTCAGAGCCAGCCAGGTCGCACAGACACAACCTGCAGGACAGCAGAGCCACGTTCAGACAGTAGGAGCGGACGGCTAACGGCTAACCAGGCGCCGCTGAACTCACTCGCTGATGGTGCGGACTCTAGCAGGGTCAGCGTCTTCCACGCCCAGAATCCGGATGGAGAAAATACTGTGACTGCAAGGAAAGCAGCGTTAGGAGGAAACAGAACCTGGGCGGCTGAAGCCTGCAGAGATCCTCACCTCCTGCTGGACAGCTGGTTGAGTCGAGTGGAGGAGAAGCTCTGGTTCCTCCTCCCCAGCTGGAGCACCATGTACGCCTCCTCAGCGCTGCTCACCTGGACCCAGCGCAGATCTAAACAGACCAGACCGACCGTTACTCCTCAGGTTTCCATGAGCTGAAAGCTTGGAGGCGCGGCAGGATGAGGACCTCTGATGAAGGCGTTGCCCTTCCCGTCCTGTGACAGCCGCAGAGCGGGCCTTCTGGGCGCTCCGCTGGGGGCCACCTCCAGCAGGTCGTGGATGTTCTCGTTGTAGATTTCACAGAAGGAGACCCAGACAGAGAACTTGGTGCTGGGGTCCACATTCAGGCTGATCTTCTCTTCAGCTGCTGCGTTTGGCCCCGTCGCCATGGAGCCTGCAGAGAGCACAGTCAGCCGCGGGGCCCCTCTGAGCCTGGAATGGAACCCAGCAGCTTTAAAGTTGTAGGGAAATCATACTTAAATGCTGAATCATTCTGGGGTAAACGTGGATATACATTTAGTCTTTATCAGACCACACTGCCCCAAAATTAGGAAATTTGTATTTTAAAAGAATTCTGTCTTAAAATCATTGTTTTTCCCCGTTATCTTCTGCAGGCCAGTTAGTTCTACGTCAACCTGAACTCCTACATTCGGCCAATCATATATCAACGCTCATCTGTCAATCACATTTTTTTGATCATAGCATCTTGATTCATTTCTCGCAGCTAATATTTAATAACGGTTGAAATCAGAATCTTCGCAGGGTAGCGGCGACCATTACAGGTGTATAGCTAGAGAGCAAATCGTTGACCATTTCTATTACGGACTCGCGTCCTCGCCAAGTATGTTCTGGAGAAGAATACAGGAAAGTGTTTACTCTGTGAGAACGGGAACACGCAGAATAAATCTGGATGAATTGGAACAGAAGCTTAGTGATGACATCACCACACGCTGGGCTCATCTGGAGCTGCATTTCACCTCCTGTTATTAATAGTCTCTAGATAATAATAGATTCTGACTTTTTTCATTTAGTGGGGGGATAATAATGAACACAGTCCGATAAACACAAAGCAAATTAACATTTTGCCAAAGAAAAAAAAAAAAATCGGCATCATAGACAGCGGTTCTTCACACATGGCTATGCAGAGAGAGGGCTGCTGCAGACGGGCTAACGTTAGCCCTGCCTGCAGTTAGCTTTGGAGCTCCGCTGGTTGCCTCGGTCCTCTCAACTTCTGAACATTTTTTTTTTATTACGCATTAAATCAGTAAATGGGCCATATAGTTATAGTTAAAAGTATAATGTTCTCTCCTCAAATGATCTTAAAACCTATTTTTATTGAACAACAGAAAGAGAACTTTTAAAATGATACTCTCTGTTAGCGCTCCATCGGAAAGAGACGGAGGAGACTCATCCACGACCTCCGACACTAAA